TATTGTATATTGATTGATTGATTAATTGATTGATTTATAAAGAGGTAGACAAATATAGATATAGATAAATATACAAATATAGATCTATTCTCTTAATATTTTGAAAAATCTATATTAGTTACCACTATTTTTATAGAAAATTAAAAAAAAAAAGACTATAAATTGAGAATTTTAACAAACATATAATATATATGTACACGTAAAAACAAAGTATGGATTGTTTTTAAAAATAAAATAAAAACCTTTTATGTACTTGCATGCTATTTAGTTTTGAGTTGTTCATTGACTGTTGTATTTTATTGCCTTTTTAGATCCAAAGTTTTGCTTCATATCTTGCTCCTAAGTTTTTACAATAGCATAACATGATATTTGTATTTTGTGCTTCATTAATTTTGGTACTTCTCCCTCCTTTAGAATCTTTAAAGTTAGAGAATATAATGAAAAATCAACCTAAAGTTTGTACTAAGAAAACGGATATTAGTTAGGCATCTCAAATATATATCAAAACTAAATGAAATTATACTTAAAAGTGATATAGAGATAGGATTATTGACTTGATTTAGATGGGTTAACGTGAGTAAAAGTTTTCATGTGTTAAAAGCATCATCAACTAAGACACTTGCTTTTGATAATTGAAGATTTTACTTTTATCGTCTTTTATAGGCTTAGAAAAGGAAGCTTAAGAGTTCTAATTATTACAAATACTTCATTTGAATTTAGCACTAAAATTTAAATATAATAAATATAAATAATATTTTAATTATAATTGTTGAATATGAAAAGTTTTATATATAGATTAAAACTTAATTGAGTTTTTACATGAAGCAGAAAATAAAAAAGCACATCTCTTTCTCTTTTTAATTTAATATGCATGTAATGAAAAATAATAATAATAATGCATATTACTCATTTTTAATGCATCTCTTTCTTTCTTTCTTTCTTTCTTTTTTTTTAGCAATTGTTAAATATAATATAATATTATATATTATATATATATAAATGCATACCTTATTTAATGTATAAGGTAACATTATATACATATAGATGAGCGGACTCCATGTACACCACTCAACCCTATTCCCTCGTCCTAGCTCAAGCCATCGTTCTCTTTCTTTTGTTCAATGGTGAAATTTTAGAGGTAAACATGGTCAATTCTTATAATTTTTTCTGATTCTTGTATATTTTCATAAGTTATAGTACTAAAACTCAATATTTATAGGAGAGCATCACGGAGAAAATCAAGCTTGTTGGGCATCACGGAGAAAATCAAGGTTGTTGACAGAGAAGCAATCAATCATTATGACAGATTTATTCTTTTGCTTTCTTGATTTGTATTTCCTTCTATGTAAGAATAGTTTTAAGCTAAACTTCTGTCATTAACTTCCATATAAGCAATGTATTCCGTACAGAGAAATATACAGCTTTCATTCAATTATGTTTTTCTAATTCTCTAGATTTTTCAATATTTAAATCTCCCGATCTCTTCTGCTTTCTACTACCAAAGTTTACTTTCTAATCTTGCATCCTGATATCAAATTTCGGTAAGTTTTCATATTCTTATATCAAGAAATATTTTGGTTCTCCATCTGGTATCCGGGGCTTCGCCCCGACTACTCCGGACTCGACCAGCTGTGGCGCACCAGAATGGTGGGTGGGTCTCCCAACGAAGACTACTGCGTACACAAGGTTTCGAACTCGAGATCTTGTTTAAGCTGGAACAAGCCGCTTGCCACTTTATCCAACTCCTCGTTGGTATATCAAGAAATATTAAATCAAGGGTAGGGAGCATGGCCTAGCCACAACAGCCGTTTTTAGTGAAATTGCAACACCTATTTGAGATGATGTGTTGTCTTACTATTTAGAAATATAAAACTAATAATAATAATAATAATCAAAATGAGTGTTTACATGGGATGCTGCTATGCACCAACCACACGGTGGATGTGGTGCTGCGTGTGGTGCTGCGTGCAGCACTCCAGCACCAGCGGGGTCAACACCCCAATTCTGGTCACAAAACAGGTATCAACACATGTTGAGTAATTAAATAAAAAATTATAAAATAATGTTGATTAAATCAAATTGGAGTTAAAGGATCAATCTTGAATTTTATAATTTATTCTGGATTTTAACTTATTATTGTTTGATATAAATTTTAGTTTCTTAATTGTTACATGTTTTGAATTTAATTAGGATCTTATTTATATTTAAAGTAAGTGAATTTATAATTATACTCTTAATTTTAAAATAGAATTTTACAATATGATTTTTATTGTTTTTGAGATGGTGGTGAGATTGAAAACTCATTTGTTTAATTATATGATAAAATCTTGTTTTAATTTAAGATGAATTTTATATGTTTAAGCATGCATGGCTATTTACGAAAAGTTTTTGATATATGCTACTTGATTTTTAAGGAACATCGCTTCTTGATACAAGCATGTTTACTTGAGATGTACTTGTTAACCTGTTTTAATTTCTAATATAATTATGTTTATATTTGTTGCCCGCTAGTGCGAAATTTATAAATACTAGCACTTGTTGATATGTTACTTATGGAACCTGTTCATTCTTGTTATACTTGTTATCATATTAGTGGAAGTAATCTTGCACCCAGTAGTAGGAGGTTTATAAACATTAGTCATGACTTGTAGAGGAGACATCTGTTTTATTACCCATACTTTTACTTGTTCACTTGACAATTGATTTATACTTGTTGGCATGCTTAATTAAAAATAAACAAAAAAGGAAACCAAACATTCACTTACTAGGATTATATCTCATGCATTTTTCCTTATCTACCATTTCAAGTAACAATGTTAGAGACATTGGGGATTAGGACTTGTGATGGTTTCTTATTAGATTCAATCTGGATTTAGTTGAAACTTAATTTAGTTGTAGATTTATTCTATCAATATTAGAAAGTTGGAAGACCTAATCAGCAATCATTGCATAACTTGACTTAGAAATATTCTTTTGGATATTATTTGACTTTTAATAATATTTAAAATATTTTCACACTTTAGTTATTAGTTTTGGTATTACATAATAATTTAACTTAGTTATAAATATTGTGCACTTGTGAGTTCTGCTCACAAATATACTGCATCTGTTTTGGTCCAAAGTTAGAGGTGCGACAATCTTATATATTTTGATTTAGCTCTTATAGTTGAAAAACTGTGTCTTGTATCTATCACAACAGTGATTGAAGATACAAGTTTTGATGCTTACAAAATGTAAATATCTGAAATAAGAATCTCATATCCTTTGACTTTGAGGGCACCTCAAGAGTGTTCAATATATACAAGTGGGCCTACCCAAAAATCAATATGATTTTCCTACCCAAAAAAAAATTTATGCTCTTAATAACAAAATTGATTTGTGGGCTCACTTTACCAAAAGATGAGTTTTGAATAAAGATTTTGGGAAGGTCCATAGCTTTCAGGCCCAACAACCCAAACAACCCCTATTGTGATTAGAGGCTCTGTTTAGAATTTTGATTTGCCCATTTTGAAAAACGTACTTCTGATCCAAGGTCTTTATTGCCTCCGGCTCTGCAAGACTGCAACATTACATCAACAGAACTTGCTTAGCAACTAGATTTTAAGCCTAATAGCTCCTAAAAAAAATAAAAAATAAAAAATACACTCATGTGCTGCCTATACATTGTATGTAGTTTTAATTTGAATCAAAGTTATCAATACAGTATCAACATATATATTGATTTTTTTACTACAATAATACATATCGAATATTAAAACTTTTTATGTATAATTTTAAATTTATTATTATAAATATATATTTTTATAAATTAAATATCAAATTTTAAAATAATGTATTTTTTTATCTATTTATTTTAAGTTAGAGGACTAAAAAAATACATATTTATACTAATATATGCATCTTTTTTATCTATTTATTTTAAATTAAAGAACTAAAATTGGATTGCAGGGAGCTCCTGCGTCAGTTGGAGAATGTCCAAATTGTTCATGCTGTCAGAGAATGCAACATGACAGCTGACTGTTTTGCTAGAATGAGCACCCCTCTGTCTTCTCCAAGCTTTTTGTATTTTCGAAAGCTGCCCTCCGTCAGCGGCTTTGTTTTGTTGTGCTGATGCTTATGGTTATGGGGTTTGTTTTCCTAGGCCCCTTGATGTACCTTTATTGTGGCTTTTAATAATATCTCTCTATTTATATAAAAAAAAAAAAATTGAAATGATGTATATTTAAATAAATTTAAGGAAATAACTAATAAAAAAACTAAAAAAATATATTTTTGATAATCGATGGAAAACAGGCAGGCGCGTGGGATTGGATGGGGAAAAATATCTAAGATGGTCACAACTTCATCATTTATTATCCTTATGTCTCTCAATATCTTCCACAAAATAAAGGTAAAGAAAAATCTTTGAAATAAAGCGAAAAGAAACCAAGAGCTGCCGCGTGTCCTGCTTCTCGACCATTCTCAGCCACAAGACTTTCCGACCGTCTCGAATTTTCCATGAAAATTAAGAAAAATTCAGAAAATGCATCTGACGTGGCACCTCTTTAGTTTTCCAATTCCGAAACCAAAACCTTTCCGTTTTTCTCTGTCCCTTCATCCTTCTTCCTTCTTCCTTCTTCCTTCCTGCAATCCGTATCTTTGCAGTGCTCTCAGCTTCCGTCATTTGGATTCTTCTCCTTTTTCTGCTACTTTCCGCTGGCTTTTCGGACCAGCTGAGACTTTTTCCGGTGATTTATTTACTGAGAAACAGTCTTTCCCGTAGCTGCTTCTTTCATTCCGTGAACTATTTCTCTTGTCCAGACCTCGGAACAGGTGACGTTTCGTTTCTTCTTTATAGATGATATTATGTAGCTGCCTGAATTTTTTTTTTTTTTTTGACTTACTGTTTTTGGAAGAAATGAACAGGGGAAATATATGTGATTTGGATTTTGATTTAAGATTTGGATATTTAAGATTGGATAGAAAAATATGTTGCTTGATTGGAGTTTGTTTTTAGATACAAAAAATAGAGAAATGGAGATTCCTGAGAAAAATTTCTTGGTTTTGCAGGCAAGATTTGAAGCTAAGATTTTGTTGTTTAGATACTTTTCATTTTTCCCCTCCATTAACAAAAACATTAAAGTTGATAACCAAAAATGAAATTTATACTTTTTAAATTTGAATTGAGTTGAACCATTTAATTTTTAGGTGTACAAATGGATATATCGAAATTTGATTGAAATGGATGAAATTTGATCAAAATAAAATTAAATCTTGTACATTTCAGTTTAATATAAAAATGGATAGACACCGTATCAATTGGTACGAAACTATACCAACAATCATGGTTTGAATTGAATTAAAAAATATGATAGTTTTAGACGTTTTTTAATGCAATTATTACATTTATGCTACCATTTCTTGTATCCTTAATATAAGCAAAAGATTGTTGAAAAAAAAAAAAATACAAGCAAACGAGGGAAAAAAAAAATCAAGAGGAGTTTAAAGCAATACTTAATCTCTAAATCTTATTGCCTTTGATGGTGAACTTAGTCTGTGGAGCTTGTATATGATCATTTGAGCTCTTCCGAACAAAAATCCCAAGACATTAGGTGCCTGAACATACAATGGATTGCTCATTAGTTACATGGGAGGTAGATTAACAAATAACAAAAAGGTGTGGATGGCTTACAGTAATGAACAAATCCTTGACAAAAAGTCCATAGAAGAACCACACAATGGTACAAAGGGTGAGAAAAAGGAGAGCGTAAATGGCATGTGTTTCACGCTTTTAGTCCTTATAACATGCCTTTGCGATAATCCATAAAGAAGATGGCATGGTGTTATATATGGGAATAAGGAAATTTCAAAATTTTCAGTGAAATTGGAGAATATTTTTTCTAACCATAATGCTCAAGGGAGCAACAAAAACACCGATGTTAAAAGCTGCACAAATCCATCCAATGGCAACTACTCGCTTAGGCCCTTTTAAGAGTACATTGGTAGGTATCATCACTGTGGCATAGGCTGCTATGTTGAAGAAGAACATCAGCTTTAGTGTAAAAATCTATAGAGATGTAGAAAGGTTTTCATGTCAAACATTTGGAAACATGAATTCGAGTTATGCCAACATGATTTTTTGAGGGCAACAAAATAAGATACATACCTTCTCCTGCGCAGAGCTTTATAATCAAGTTTTCACTTGTTTAGAAAGTCATTGATGCTCAGACTTGAGAAGTAACTGAATCACAATACTGACTGAATAGTAGTTCTTTTAAAATAGAAGCATGTCTATACTTGTGTTGGCCAGAACATTGATTAGCAAAGATTGTGTAGAATACCATACCTATCATGTTACAAAAACTTTCTTGTAATTTTATGTCTGGTATGCCCTGAAGTGAGCATGCCAAAGCTACTTCTCACGATAAGGTTTGGTAAAATTCCATTCTGTTTTGATGGAACACTTCAATCCCCCTACGTAAAGAATATATAATTAGATAAATAATTGCTGAAATTAAGAATATAGGATGCACAAGTAGGAACTACCATTATTAGGGATTGCTTTCAAATCCAATCATTTAGGAAAGCTTGAAACGGTGTGAATAAAAATAAAATCGTGTAATTTCAATATTTGAACTTCCAATCATTTAGCATATGATTATGTCTTTTACATTTCGAATGTGACAAGTGTTCATATTCAATTTATAGATATTGATGAAATTG